CAGGAAGGGGAACAGAAATACCTCTTCAATGTCCAACTTCTGTGTGGCACCATCTCTGTGCTGTTCCCCCTGGCCCTCCCGCGCATGCACCAAATGCCTTGTTCTCTCTTTGCCTTCTGTTTTTATTCATATCCTTCTGCCTTCTCCCCGAGGTCAAAAGTTTGAAAAGGACTCTCCTTGTCCCTTAAGATCAGCTCTGGGATAGCTCCAACCTCTTTAAACACCCAACCGGTGTTTCATACAGACACAGGAAATACCCCTTTGGTAAAAGTTCTAACCTGCTAGTTAAATTAGCTAGACCCACTTCCTTGCTTCTGTGTTCAGGCAGTGTTGGGGGCGGGTGCACACTTTCCTCTCAGACAGGGTTAATTATAAACATCCCTTCGAATTAGTATATTCAGTCTCTGCAAACAGATCCAGCTGGTCTGAGCCTTCAGAAGCTTCACCCAGTCTTACATCTTTGTGAAAATCTTGGTCCCGTGACTTCTTTGGGAGTACAAACAAATCCTGTTTATCAGTTTATCTTGGGTCTCAGGTGTAGTAGGAATGAGATGGGAAGGCCTGGGATATGGAGATAGTCTGAGCTCCAAGATGAGTGAGGAGGCTCCTTTCTGCCTCAGAGATCACAATCTTGCCTAAAAGTGGGGTCTCTTGGGCTCAGGCTGGAGTGGTGTTGTCTTATCACTGTCTTCCCTCTCCTCCCCATTTCCTCAGCCAAACTTCCTACTCCAGTCTCTTCTACCACACCCCATCCCACAATAGCCTTTCTCCTTCAGCCTTTCCAACATCATCCTTAGCCATGTCTTCTCCCTTCCTGGGTGCCAGCCTTGGCAACTTAGAGAGAACTTAAGCAACTTAGAGACACTAATCTCTCCAAACATTCTCCTGGGAAAAGGCAGAAAGCAAAGGCAGCCCAAAGTTCAATTAGTTTCCCTGATATGTGGATGACACCACACCACCTGCACATCTCCCTCCACCCTGCTTTCAAGAGTGGAAGATAATAAATCCCAGCCAAAAAGTCACTGCAACAGGTTCAGCCCCTGATGACCTGTGCCCCATGTGCATCTTATTCTTACTTTAGGCCTGGCAGGTCCTCTTCTAGACAATCTCCTGAAGGTTTTCAGCCTCCCTCACCTTGCTCTTGCTGTTAGTGTGTACCATTGGCTTCAGCCCCCCTTTCCCTGCCACCAGTGCTGGGGACCCAGGGCCTCACACATGCTAAGTAAGTGCTCACCACACCCACAGCCCCTTCAACTCTCACCCTTTTAGCTATCTTTTTTTTTTTTTTTTACTTTTTCCCCTTCATTTTCTTTTTTTTTTAAACCAGAATATCACATTTATTTCAGAAGTAACAGCAATGTTAAAATTGACAAGTTAAATTTTTTTACATAATACTTTTATTTGTTCATTTTTTTAAATGTGATGCTGAGGATTGAACCCAATGCCTCACCTGTGCTAGGCAAGTGCTCTGCCACTGAGCCACAACCCTAGCCCTAAGTTCAATTTTTAACTATACCAACTTTTTTCTCTTTTTTAATACTCCTGGGCATTAAATGTCTCTGGGATAAAGATTGAGGTTAGCAGAGTGGGGAGAGCTGATGACATCAGGCAGCACAGATGGAGCTGGGATCTTCTGTCTCTGGGTGGCTGGGGAGATGAGCAAGCATGCTCTCACACACACACACACACACACACACACACACATACATAAATACAGAATTAAGTTTCCACTTCCCCTCAATCACTACCTCCATCTCCCGGGAAAAAGAGTTTTGCAGCCGGGTGCAGTGGCACACACCTGTGATTCCAGCGGCTTGGGAGGATGAGTCTAGAGGATCACGAGAGTTCAAAGCCAGCAACTTAGAGACACCCTGTTTCAAATTTTTTAAAAATGGCTGGGGAGGGCTGAGGTTGTGGCTCAGTGGTAGAGCGCTTGCCCAGCACACGTGAGGCACTGGTTTGATCCTCAGCACCACATAAAAAATAAAATAAAATAAAAGTATTGTGTCCATCTACAACTAAAAACAATATTTAAAAAAAAAGGCTGAGGCTGTGGCTCAGTGGTAAAGCACTTCTGAATTCAATACCTGGTACAAAAAAAAAAAGTTTTGGAAATAACAAAATAACAATCTGATATGATCCCCTTCTTGTTATAGAGACTTCCATAAACATAGGTTACAGATAGGCAACAGCCCTCATTGGTCCCAGAAACACACAGTCCCTCCACCTGGGCTTAATATCTGAAATTTCCTTCCTTTCATGCCACATTGTCAGCACCTTGGGGACATTAGAGACCATCTAGCCCAATCCCTTTATATAGATGAGCCCAGGAGCTGGGGATGTGGCTCAAGTGGTAGTGCCTGGCCTGGCATGCGTGGGTGTGGCCAGGGTTCGATACTCAGTACCACATACAAACAAAGATGTTGTGTCTGCCGAAAACTAAAAAATAAATATTAAAAAAAATTATCTCTCTCTCTCAAAAAAATAAATAAGAGAAGGCTTTCTTAAAAAAAAAAAAAAAGATGAGCCCTTTGGGTGGAGGCCATTCTTCCTTGAGAGTGCATTAAAATATGCCTTTGGGGGATGAGGCTAGGGCTTAGTGGTAGAAAGCTTGCCTAGCATCCTTGGAGCCTTAGGTTCCATATCCAGCACCGCAAAAAATAAAAAAATATATGTAAAATACACCTTGGTTACCTGAGAAGGATAGCAATAAATAAAAACACATCTGCGCCAGTGAACCCATTAGCAGAGTTTAATCAGATTAGCTCATTGTCGTATATTAGAAAGCCTGGAAAATATTGGAAGCATTCCCAGAGGCCCCCTCCCTTTGGAAGCTCAAGTTAAACATGAGAGGGGGGACCTCCAGGGTGAAGGGGAGGACCCTTGGGATGCCCTGGGGTGGAAGCTTGGGATCCCTTGGGATCCCCTTCAGAGGGGCACTCCTGGGTGTGTCAGACATGTTGGCTGCTTCATCCAGCAGCTCTGAGAAGATCTGTTGGCTAAGGCAGCCCCTTTGGGCTTTTTACTGTATTCAAAAAGGTTTTCCAGGGCCCAAGTCCCACCCTCATCTACATCCCCACCTATGTCTCCCATTTCCACAAGAGGGGTCCTGCCCCTTGTCCCCCCCTGGGCAGTTCAACCCCACCTGTCACACCCCCATACCTGTGCTCCCTTTGTCGCTCTGTGGCTGCCCCAAGCTGGCTTCCGCTGCCTGTTCTGTGCTGGGTTGGGCTGGTAGGACCTGCTCCTGGGCGGGTGGTGACACACCCACCCCAGCAGTTCTCAGCACATCCCTCCCAGCTCTTTGCACTCACCCAACCCCACAGGGCCAAGGAGAAAGAGAAGAGGAAGCATTGACCTCAGAGGCCTTCATGGACTAGAGAAGAAACCCCCCACTCCAGCAGCTAATGACACTTAATCCAGCCCTAATTTACCACCTACCTCCCCCACCCATCCCTCACACACTCAAGCAGCTTCCGGGAACTCTTACTGGCACACCCACCACTGATGCCCGATGACTAACCCACTGCTGCTCACTGTTCTCACTCATACGCTCCCCTGTGTGTCTCTTCCTCTCTTAGGTCGGCCAGGTGGTTTACCCCATGCAATTCTGCTTGTACCTTCCCCTGCCCAGGGTTCTCTCTGCATACCAGTGTTCTGCAAGGCCCTCTGTCTCTTCCTCTCTCCCTTCCAGTACACACCCAGCTCCTCCAACAATGCCAGGCTGGATGCTTCCTCTTTACTCAGGTCTATTTCCCCAGGCTTGGAGTTTCAGAAGGGCAGAAAGCTCAGATGACATACCCTCGCCTCTGTATCCTGCAGCTGAGCACAGCCCCTCAGAAAACATAAGCATAAGTTTTCAAATGGCAAGTAGTACTCATTTGTGGTCAAATGAGTTTGGAAAACATTAGGTTAAAATTTCTTTATTATGAAGCTTTGCAGGACCTTTAACATTCTATTCTGTTGAATGATAGGTCATATAGGGCGGGGTGAAGGGTACACGAAGGTTCATAATACTGTTTTTTTGTTTTGTTTTTCTTGGAACTGGGAAATGAACCCAGCAGTGCTCTCCACTGATCCACATCCCCAGCTCTTTTCTCTCCCTCCCTCCCTTCCTTTCTTTCTGACAGCTTCTTGTTAAGTTGCCCAGGCTGGCCTCCTGCCTCAGCCTCCCCAGTAGGAATTACAGGCATGTGCCATCATACCCAGCACATTATACTATTTTTGTGCATTTTTGAAATTTTCCATAATAAGTTTTTTAGAAATTCTGTTAATGGGCTGGGGATGAGCTCAGTGGTAGAACACTTGCGGAGCATGTGCAAGGCCCTGGGTTCAATCCCCAGCACTGCAAGAAAAAAAAAATACTGTTGACTACTGTGAGCCTATAGTAGAGGAAGAAACTCAATATGTGTTTCTCCTCTCTTGAAAAAGTGTAAGCTATGCCCTACTTGTCCAGAGCTGATCCCCGTGGACATGATCTCAGGCTCTGACCCTTATCCTTTAGAGGGACAATCCTACACTCACTTCTAAGATCACAGGACCCAGAGCTTCAGAAATGAAGAGACACATGCCCTCATAGTACACATAATCCCTAAGACCCTGGCCATAGCCTTCTTCAATCCAATTCCCTGACTGCTTAGGTCTTCTGCTTCTCTGACAGATGGCTGCTTCCCTGAGTACCATTCCCATGAGGTTCTCTCATCTGCAGCTGGATCCATAAAATTGGGAGGTTAGAGGTTGATTCCCAAGGGCAAGGTGGCAGTGCTGAGGATGAAGATCAAACCAAAAAAGGGCACACAGGCTGAAAATAAACACTTTATATAAAGACATTCTCCTAAGGCAGATGGAACTCCCATTGTGGACCTCTCTGGGACTGCTACCCCAACCCAAGGAGAGTGTTACTAGGGACTAGGTAAGAGACCCATGAGAGGCAGCCTGAAAGCAAACTGACAGATAAAGAAAGTGGACCTGTCAGGCTGGAGTGGGGCCAGAATGGATTCCAGCTCATCCAACTTGGCCTAGAGTCAAGGTGCTGAACTCCTGGCTCCATCGAAGCACAAGGTCCTCACTTTTGGTCAGGGATAAAACAGTGTAAGTTTCATTCTGCAGACATCTTGTGCGGGATACCTACATGGGGATTGTGCATATATAATCTGTGACACAGAGCCAGGTGCCAGGAATGTGCAGGTGAGGAGGTGTCAGAAGCATCACAAGAAACAGAGGTGGGCAGTAAAAGAGAAGAGGAAACTAAAAAAATAATTTTTTTTTTCTGTATGATGGAGAAAATACCAAGTGGCTCAAACCCCTTCTTTTGGAAATCAGGAATCTGAAGCACAGAGGGGCACTTGACTTATCCTAGGCTACCTAGTAAGTAAGGAAGCCAGATTAAAACTCAACATCCAATTTCTAGCCTAGGTGTGATGTCCTCAGTGTCCTCCCCTTATCTGCACCATCTTCCTCTTGAACCCTTGTGCGTGGGAGGAGGGACTTGCTTAATCCAGGACCAGAGGCCTGGAGGAAGCACCCTGAAGAGGTCCCTGACCTATAGATGCAAGTAGAGAACTGGCTCCCCATAGCTCAACTTCTGGAAGAGGGGAACTCAGAATACACATACATGGTATGGGTGACTGAAGGGCTGGCAGGAGGAGGTGGGGGCAGGTTGGGGTGCTCACCTTCCGATTCTGGTTTCTCATCAGACATTGCTGGCTTTTGAAGGAACAGTAGTTTGGATACTGGACATAGTCTGTGTCACAAACCTAAGCCAGGAGCAAGAGAGGGGAATATAAGAAGCCTAACAGAACATCAAACTCCAGGGGATACTGGCAATGGCAGAACCAGGGGCAGGGGTGTGGCTTTTGACAACCAGACCTTGCATACCTGGGATGCATCTCATTGTGCTTTCTGAGGAATAAGCCTCTGGTTCCTCTGCCCTTTCCCTCTCACCCTCAGTCACAGATTGCTAAACAGCATTCAGGAGCTTGGAGAAACAGAATTGGCTGCCCTACTGGTCAGCTTGCTGGGAAACTGACTGAGGAATAGGATTGGACAGGTGGGTGGTTCAGGGTCAAGAATATGGGCTAGGGATGTAGGTCAGTGGTAGACTACTTACTTAGTGTTTATGAGGCCCTGTGTTCCACCCCCAGCAACAACAGCAAGAAGTTGTTCAGAACATGGGAAAGGGGACCCAAATAGTGGTCAAAATATCAGGGATCCTTCTGGTGATGGTGATGAGTGAAGAGGATGGTAGAAGAAACTGTTGTGTGACAGTGGGTCAATAACTTTCCTCTTTGGAACTTGCCTCCCATCTATAAATTCAGGGAGCAACTGAGATGATTTCTGAGACTCCTTCCAGATCTAGAGGTTCAGGGACAAAAGCTAGGCACTGCCCTGAAGCTCAGCACCAGCCTTTTCTCCCCACCACCCACCACCCCCAGTTGCTGTGGATGAAATCCAGAGCCTTGTGCATGCCAGGCAAGCATTCCACCACTGAGTTATACTCCTAACCCCTACCAGCCGTTTCCTAAGATGGTCCTATTTTTCCTTGTCTGGGTTTTTCCTGTCAAACCACAGGAGGGAGTCTCAGCAACTACTGACAATCCTGTTAAGAAGTAACTTTGGAGAGAGGGGAGCCAAATTGCTGTCACTAAGCAGGGAATGCACTGGAAGTGTCAGGGAAGGAGTCTGGCAGGCTAAGGCAGGGATCACAGGGCCAGGCAGTATCCTCCATGTCACCTAGTCTTTTATCATAGAGATGAGTATAACTTTGACTGGATCCCCTATTTCTGTCTCTTGCCTCCCAGTCCTGTGCTTTCTCATCTGGCTGGGTTCCTACTGCTTTGACAAAAACAATCTTAATCTTTTGGGGAGGTGTGCTATGGTCTGTTGGAATCAGGTAGGAGGTTCTGTGAGGAACTCAAGCCCCCTTCCACATCCTAGAGCACATACTTACAAGGAACTAGGGCAAAGGGAGGAGTGGGCTAAGCTTTGGGGTAAGGGTCTGACCTTGGTGGGGAAATCCCCATCATGGAAGCTAAGGAACTCAGTCTGGAGCCAGCTGGAGACTCTGACATCTTCACAGCCCTTTGTGGCAAGCCGGGCACACCAGAAGTCCATGCGGAGCCCACCATACAATTCCAGCCCATAAAAGCGGCCTGCTTCTGGGGACCCTACCTGTGGCACAGGAGACAGGCAAGAGGTGCACATCCCTTGCCCTCCTACAGGCCTCCCCACTACAACTTGCCTGGCCAGGTACCTGGGTGCCGACAGACACGCCCTGGGCTGTGAGCAAGGGGCTGAGGAAGGGTGTCTTGTGGGAAGTGTCACATTCTTGCCGCCGCAGGTTGTTCTCTGAGTAGCACTGCTCCAGCTTCAGGGAGCAGAAGGCACAGAGGGGACAGATAGATGTATGTCGCCGCCCAAGACTGTCACAGACCTGAGGCAGGAGTATGAGTGAAAAGCTGAAGCTGGGACTTGGTGGCTTGCCTTTTCCCCAACCTCAGCCCTCCAGAGCGGCCCACAGAATGTTTTTGCTTTAAGGCTCTTCTGATAGCTTCTCTGGATTTTCTCCCCAAGGACCTTGCCTCAGCTATTTCTTCACCCTTTTCCTGGACGTGGATGTGGATGGTTTCTATTCTTGGGTAATTTTCATCTATGTGCAGGTGATACTCCACAAATTTTTTTGTGCTAATAGGGATTGAACCCAGGGGTGCTCTACCACTGAGCTACGTTCCCAGCTCTTTTTGAGAGGCTCTCACTAATTTGCTGAGGATGGCCTCAAACTTGTGATCTTCCTGCCTCAGCCTCCTGAGTCACTGGGATTACAGGTGTGTTCCACTGGGCTTGACTGATACCCAAATGTTTATCACCAGCTCTAATCTTTTCCCTGAACTCAAAATTTTCATTGTCAAGTACATTGGAGAACTGCCAATTGCCCCTAATTTATCTTATCTGAGAAGAACCCATAACCATCTTCCATTCTCTGCTAATGATAATGCTAATATTTGCAGAGAGGTGACAGTGTTTTGGTACTATCTATATAGTCTCATTTGTCTTCTGAAGAACCCTGTAACAACAACAGAAGTACCAATACTATTTCTCATTCACTGATAAGAAACTGAGGCTTTCTTTATAAGTAATTGTTAGATTCAGTACATTGTTCAAAGCCACATGTCTAACAAAAGATGAAGTTGGGACATGGATCTAGGTCCTTCTAACTCTATAACCTATGCTCTACAAAACACCTAGGTTTGAAACCTTCAGGTTTTTGGAAGATCTTCTCAAAGTGGAGTTACCCATCTCCTAGCTGGACTCTATCCTGATTGAGCTTCCTCATCACTACAGAGGGATCTTGCTAAGCAGTATCTTCAGTCAATTCCATCATCCTCCTTTCTCACCAGTGGGTACAGCTTGTAAAGGTGTATGGAATTTCTTATATCACCTGCTTACTCTTTACAGAAGCACATAAGGGCAGCATCAAGTCCCTGACCCAAAATCTGCATTAAATTCCCTCTGCCTACAAAATTAAATACAAATGCTAAGACTGCCATTTAAGACTTTTAACATGTGTCTTCCTTTGCTCTGCTGCAAGTAAAATGCACTCTGCTGCACTCTTATCCAACTCCTTCAGAGAGTTTCTTTCATGACTCTGAACTTTCCAATCCCCTTGCAATCCCGCCAGGCTGCTACTGGGTAATAAAGCCAGGGGAATTCCATCACTAAGCTATATCCCTAGTCTTTTTTATTTTTTGAGACAGGGTCTCACCAAGTTGCCAAGGCTGGCCTTGAACTTGCAATCCTCCTCCTCAGCCTCTGAAGTAGCTGGGATTACAGGTGTGCACCACTGTGCTTGGCTTCCCCCTGAATTTCTGACAAGTTTTTAAAAACCTCTAACTCCTTGCACCCTCCTTCTATAGGACGAATCTCCTTCCTGGGTTCTCAGCCTCTTAAAAGAAGAAACTGTATGCTCATTCTGAGTCTGGAGATTTCTAGTTGCCTCAGAGCCTTTACTCATACTATACCATCTACCAGGAACCTTCCCTGGAGCTCCTTCTTTGCCTGGTTAACTTCTCTTATACCCAAGTCTCAGAGGAACAGATGTTAATCAGATTAACATCTGTTCCTCTGAAAAAGTACTCTCTAATCCTTCCAAACATGGAGAATCTGTCCCTCCATCCCATCTGTTCTCTGCACTTTGTTCTTATGCCTATTACTGATGTCTAGCCTGCCTGTTTCCTCATCTCTCTTTCCTACTAGATTCTAAGAAGACAAAGCATTGGATCTACTGCACCTCAATTACCTAATAGAGTTGGTGCCCAGTCAGTATTTGTTAAACAAATGGATGAATGCATGAATGCTAAGTTGTATTATTTGAAAACAGTAGTGCCAGGTGTGGTGGTACATGCCTGTAATACCAGCTACTCCAAAGGCTGAGGTAGGAGGATGGCAAGTTCAAGGCCAGCCTTGGCAATTAGGCTCAAAATAAAAATAAATAAATAAATAAAGGGCAGGGGAGTAGCTCAGTGTCAAAGCCCCTACTTCAAGTTCAGTCTCCAGTATTTAAGAAAAAAAGATGGCTCAATCTAGGAGCTGAGTGCAATTGCATGCACATATAGTCAGATACTCAGGAGGCTGAGGTGGGAGGATCACTTGAGCTCAGGAGTTTCAGACTAGCCTGAACAATTTCATCTTGAAAGAAAGGAAAACCTAAAGTATATTTCCTGGGAACAAACTTGCTGCATTTGAGTTTTTTGTTTGTGTTTTTTTGTGCTGGTAATTAAACCCAGGGCTTTGTGTATGCAAGGCAAGCACTCTATCAACTGAGCTATATCCCCAGGCCTAGACTTGCTGTATTTGGAAAATATTTTGATACTATAATCCTTTTACAGATTCCCTGGAATAGATTCTATGAACCTTTTGGAAAGGAGAGCTGCATCAGCTAGGTGCAACTAGGTACTGAAAATGGTGAACAGGATGAAGAGATGACTCAGAGCCTAACAAGTTAGTGGGCTGGAAGATGAATTCCATCTAGGACCAAAGCCTTCCTCCTTGAAGATGGACTGACATGCTTCCAAAGGAGGAAGTCCCACTTGGATAGAATCTCCACTACTATGCCTCATGTTTTCCTTGCTCATTCCTCTCTCCCATGGCCTCATGTAGTGCCAGACCCAAGGATGCCTAGTGGCACATATCCATTAAACAGCATGGTAGGCATACCGTCTTCCCGAAACCAAGGATCTCCTCCTCTAGGTACTTCCAGGCCTTGGCTGTGGGGGTCATGATGCAGGTATTCTCCACAATTGAATAGCACAATATCAGCAAGGACTCTGCGTGGGGTAGTTGCAGGAGGCTGCAAGAAGACAGTACTGACTGGTGGGGATGAGCTGGAAGGCTGGAGCAGAAAGACATATCTACTCTCTTGCCCTCCCCTGAGCATCTATTTTTTTTTTTTTTGTACTAGGGATTGAACCCATAGGCTTTCTATCACTGAGCTACATCTCTAGCCCTTTTTATTTTTTTGAGACAGGATTTCACTGGCCATCCTCCTGTCTCAACCTCCCGAGTTGCTGGGATTACAGGCATGAACCACATGCCCAGCACAGTTGTCCTTTATCATATACCTTCAGCATGCTTATCATGGGGCCTTTAGTATGGGGTCTGAGATGCCTCGGGTCAATTGCCTCCTTTTACAAATGAGAAACTGAGGTTCAGAATGGAGGAATAACTTTCTCACTGTTAGAATGCTATTAGGGTCAGAGACAAGACCCAAACCCAAGCCTGTTAGCTCCAGATTCAGGGCTCATTGTCCCACATCATGTAGAGAATGAGCACCTAGGTCAGGGATTAAGCCAAGGATAGGCATAGCAGTTGCTAGTTGTGCCTGAAGCGCAAGTAGGTCTGAGTGGGTTTGCAGGTCGGAAAAGTGAGCTTCTTGTTTCCAAAGAAAGCAGCAGGGATGTCAGGGCCCATGAGGGAGTCAAAACTTCCTGTACCTGCCAGGGTTTTGACTTCTGCTCCAGTAGACATCCTCATCATATATTTCATTCATTTCATCTATTTCTTGTGCTGATTGAGTGACCTCTTGGGTGTTCTCCATGACAGGAGCAGGTTCTGCTTCTCGGACTCGGGGAGTAAAGGAGGAAGGGTTGGAAGACAAAGATTCAGACAGAAACTTAGCCTCTGCATTAGCCTGCAAACTAGACACTGTCTCAAGTCCCTCTTCTGTCCCCTGCTCCTCTTCCTGCTTTCCCTCCTCCTCTTGTTCCTCCTCTTGCTCTTCTTGCTCCTGCTCTTCCTCCTGCTTTTGTTCTTGCATTTGCTCTTTTTTGTGTTGCTCCAGTCTGTGTTCCTGCTTGTGATCAGGCAGTTGCTCTTGGCCTCCCAGGGACAAGGAGGATTGGAGCAGCTCCTCCACATTGTTGTTCAGCCGCTCAGGCCAGGGCTGGAAGGCCTGCCGTTCTGTGGCTACCACAGGGTTTGGGAGGAACCAAAAAAGAGAAGAGAAAGAGACAGGCTTTTGGCACCTAAGTGTATGTTCACACATAAACACAAGGACAGTAAATGTAGACTAAAATTACATTTACCTACATAGTTAAGTATAAAAAACAAAAAACGAATATGAATATCAAAATGAAATATATTTCCATGGCAAATGTTGTGTTGGTGGTATGTGTCATACCTCTCATACCTCTCTTCTTCCCTACCTCCCACCTCAAATGCAACTTTTTTTTCTCTCTCCCTAGGGAACAAAAAATATTCCAAGTAGCTAGAAACTAATGCTTTCTACTGGCGCTGGGAATTGAACACAGAGCCTCATGCGTGCTAAGCACATGCTCTACCACTGAGTTACACCCCCAGTCCTAATCCTTTCTAAAATGAAGATGTTAGATTATAAAAGGTCCAGAGAAGTTCCAATGCTGGAAACTAGGAAAAATGGATTCAGGGTAGGATTGTAAATAATGGCAGAAGATATTCTTGGGCAGAAGAGCCATATCTGTATTCATAAATTCCTATTCTCCCTGTTCAACATTCTTCCCCTTCCCTATTACCAGTGACCTACATCCTGGCTCTGGAAGTTGTGATAGGGTCTCACCTGTGATATGAGATAAAAATGGGGAGGTCATGGTGGTGGGTGCGACTTCTGCTGCAACCTCTACCTCCTTGTAAGTATTAGGTGAGAGAATGGATACTGGCTGGGAACACCGAACTCTCTGCAGGGAGAGAAGGAAAATGGGAAAGCCTTTCCCAAGGGCAGACTTCTGTTCTAGTGAATTGTTCAGTCCCTTTCCCAGGATGGCTCATCCCTCATAGATCCTGGGAAAGGATGAAGGAACATGATCTTTGCTGGAACCCTCTAGTCCTGAGAAAGGGTCTCTCTGGAAGATAGTCTTTTTGTCTGGGTCATACTCCTGCCTCACTCTTCTGCTGTTGATTAGAATAAAATCACTGACCTATTAGAAGAAATGGAAGGGCTTGTCTCTGCCTCTTCCCATCCCTCTTCCCTACTTTTCTTGAAGTAACAGGGTTTTTAGACAGTATGAATGTCCAGGTGAGACTATTCATATATAATCTGAGCAAATGACTGGCAAAATGGCAGAGAGGAAGGATCTAAGGAGGATAGGATGTGTTGGAACCCTTCCTCAACTCCCCATTTCCACTCCCTTGGCCCTGGAGTTATCATATCCAACCTTTCTCCTGGGCCTCACCTTGGCATAGTAGACATGGTTGGAGCAGCGATACTGAGTAAACTGGCAGAACGACTCAAACCAGGAGGCATAAGGAAGGTCGGAGCAGACCGCGCCTGAGAAGGGGCAGGAGTGGAGAAGGTGAACACACAGAGGGAAGGCCCCCTGGGGAAGGCCTGGGTAGAGTACAGTATGAGACTCTGGGTTAGAGGCTGGCCATACCCTCCCTCTATCTCACATGAGCACAGGACTTCTGCCCTGTGCTTGGGTGAATTCTGGGTGTCTTGGTTTCCCCTATCTCACGTGAGCACAGGACTTCTGTCCTGGGTTTGGGTGAATTCTGGGTGCCTTGGTTTCCCCTCACCATCCGGCACCAAGCCGTGGTTTTCATATTGATCCAGCTGGACCAGAGTGGGGTTTCGGCAGCCATGGGTCGCACGAAGACGGCAGGTAGTCTCTGCCTTCCAGGTTGGGGTCAGCAGAGCAAAGAAGCGTTCATATTCGCTGGGGGAGAGAGGACTGCCTGGAGTAGAGGCTGAAGTTGACTCCTGGGCTGGGGCAGGTGCCAGAGGCAGGAGCAGCACTGAGGAGTAGGGTAACATCGTTGGACACACAGCAACCCCAAACCCGCTCCAGACCCAGGCAAAATTAGGAACCGGGATGTTCCTGCGGGTGGTCCCCACGGAGAAGGTTAAGGAAATTCTAGAGACAGGGGGGAGATCAGGAAGGATGTCAGAAGCAAGGGAGCGGACTCAAATCACCATGATAAAGCATCTCAGAAATCATAAAAAAAATGACTCTCAGGCAGTAGAGGGTGAGGGCTGAGCTCAGGGAGGACCACGCTATTAGAACAGGTGGGAACCTCTCACCCTTCAGGAGAGAGAGAAGGAGGCCATCAGACAGTTTTGTCATGGCCCCGGAAGATCCGACCGTGTTTCCTGGCCTCTAACCGGCCAAGCCACAGACAGCGGTGGTGGCACGGGCTGGCGCGCAAGAGTGCAGGTGAGGCCCTACGTCACAAAGGCGGGGCCGCCGCAGGGGCCCAGGGGCGGAGCCAAGAACCCAAATGGCCAAGTGGCTGGAGGGCATCGCTCAGGTCAGGGCAAATCCAGCAGAACAGCGAAGGCCACCATTCATGTTCTATCTTCGATGAGGCCTGTTGTTCTTGATTACCTCATTTAATCTCCACAGTAATCCCAGAAGGTGGATCTATTATGATCCTTATTTTACATGCAGGGAAATCAGGGTTTAGAGAAGCAATTTGTCCAGATGGTGGAGAGACCTAGATGTGAGCATAGGCAGGGTTCTGTGGCTGGCAATGATGGAATGTCCAAAACAAAGGGTAGGAGACAGAGGATGCCTCCAGGTAAGATATAGGTCAAAAGGGAAAATAAGAGAAGGGTTCACAGGAGGGAGTGCTCGGGTATAAAGATGTCTATGAAGCTCTAGGAAATGGATGCCAAGAGGGACATGAGCAACACAATCCATTAAGGTATGGGAGGAAAATATCTGTCTGCTCAATGTTTAAAATAAGAAATCAAGCTAATATTTACTATAGTAGTACACAAGTATAACACAAATACATCATTTATTGGAAATTAAGTAAAAAGATGTCTTATGGAGAAAAGATGCACGATTTACAAAGTTCTGAGTCACACCCTCCAGCCAGTGTTGCCTTCCCCAGGTTGAGAAGCTGTAGATGCTGGTGCACAATATTATTCAGGTTTCTTGTCCTAATTCTGGGATGTCATCCTCCCATCTCTCATCCAACCCAAAGGGTGCAAAAAGAATGCTTAGCACATGTACTGAAATAGTGTCTCTACAATAAACACAGCAGGCCAACATGTATAGCTTTTATTTACCTATCCAGGCTCCTTTTACATGTGAGTTATCTGCATTCCACCTTGCCCCCTCTCCCATTCAAGGTCAGGATGAATCCCCTTGGCATAGAGGATGGGGTGCCCCTTCAATGAGGGCCACAGCCCAAATGATCCAGGGCATCCCCATCATGAAAAAACAGGAAGAGAATGGAGAAGAGAGTTCATACCTAGCTCCCCACAGGGTAGCCGGAGGAGGATTAAGGGAGTCAGAGGAGTGCCCTATGCTACTTCCCCAGTCCTCAAATACAAAGCAAGGGAAATCAAGAGGACCCTTCCTCTGAAATACAGCACCAACCTCAGCATGGAGGCAAAAGGACAGTGGGCAAGCTTACTTCCCAACCAGGGGGAGGGCAGAATGAGAACACATACCGTTAGTGGTTGCGGCACCCCTCCCTACCAGGGTTTGAATGCAGCCTCAGCACCGGGAATGGGGAAGGGGAGGAGAAGGGATGACGATACTGCACCATCCACTTCTCCCTGAACCCCCTGGCCCCAATACAGGCATTCCTCTGCCCACTAGCCCAGATCAGGGGATGTGGAAGAAACTGTGTTGGAATCCAAGGCCCGTATCTATTTCTTCTTTCGTTCTTGGGAGCAGCGTGGGCAAAACCTAGAAAGCAAAAACAAAGAGATGGGTGGGGGGAAAGTGAGTGAAGGGGAAAGTACCCTATGCCATCTAGCTTTGCAATAGTCCAGTTAGGCTGCAACTTACCATTTCCCCCGAGGCTTGGTTGTCAGTCCCACACAGGCGAAGTGGAACCACTCAATGGAACACTGGAAAAGGAAGATGCAGTAGTTAGGAGCCTGGATGGTGGAAAGAAAGCCCTCATAAAGATTCTTTAGGAGTGTACATATATCCCATCCCTTTGGAGACTTTCTGGAAGGCACAAGGCTACCCATATCCATTGTTTTTTGTTTTTAAATATTTACTTTTTAGTTGTAGTTGGACACAATATCTTTATTTTTTTTTATGTGGTGCTGAAGTTTGAACCCAGGGCCTCGCATGTGCTAGGTGAGCACTCTACCGCTGAGCCACAATCCCAGCCCCTCGTTTTTTGTTTTTGTTTTTGAGACTGGGTCTTACTGTGTTGCCCAGGCAATCCCTGAACTCCTGGGCTCAAGTGATCCTCGTGCTTCAGCCTCCTAAGTAGCTAGGATTACAGATGCATCCGAAATGTCCTACTTTCAGCCATTGTCCTTCATTTTGAAGTCCCATTCTTCAATCATGGCTCCCCCATTTTAAACCCACTCCTTTCATGTCCCTCAGAACCCCACATCCTGAGGTAAAAGGTTCTCACATCAGGGTTGTCACAGCCAATCATCTCTCCATAGGAGACCTGGTGACAAAGGCAATAGGTGGGTTCGTTGGGATCCACAGGCATATCCAACACATCAGAGGGATGGACACTGCCAAAGGTCACTGAGGGCATCCCATACTCAGGACTTCTGTATGCCAAGAGGAAGAGAAATTGTCATTTGCAGGAAGGGAAGCTAGGACCTAAGGCTCTGAGGCGGTAGAAGGAAATCCTGGTGGGGCTTCTCCTCTCCATCCAGCAGACACCAAAGTGATGAGAAGAGTTATTAACAGAAAATAGGAAAAGCGGCAAAGGGCAGTGCAGTGTAGGGTGAGAGTGGGATGTCAGGAGAGAAGAGGATGTTACTTGTCGAAGAGTATGTCATCTGAAACACTCACGTGCGCACAAGTTTTAACTTCTTCTGGGCAGCCTTGGGTGCTTCTTCATCTGAGTTTTTCCCTTTGGAACGTGCACGGGCAGCTTTCTTCTCCTTTTGAGTCCGGCCTTCTAGGGAAGAGGGGGAAAGCCAGAAGGCAGGGAGATAGAAAGATGGGTTAAGTCCTCTTTCTTCCTCTTCTTTGCAACTTGGTATTCCTCCCTCATAGGTGAAGAGCAGATCTCTTCTCCCTCAGAGTCCTCACCCACTCTCACAGCCCCGCCCCCCTCCTCACTCTTTTTGCCTTTGCTAGAAGAGCTGTCATAGTCACTTGACTCGATCTGTTTCTCCTTCAAATCAGCCTCAAAACGGGCCAGGTCTGTGTCCAGTCGCCGAATGTGTTTGTCAACCTGGGAGAGAAGGAAGGAGAAGGGAGAGATATAAGCCTGGTTCTAATTAAAGGAAAACAGGCTATGGTAAAATCTATGGATCTCCCAGATCCAAAACAGATTCTGACAGCTGAAGGAGGGGTCTAAGACCCCAAAGATTAGATGGGAGGTAGTGGGGAGCCATGAACAGGGCCATACCATCTCATAGGTCTGCATGGCAAGCTGCACCTTGTCGTCACCAAATTCCTTGCACTTGCCATAGGCTTCCTGGATCTGTCTGAGAAGAGCCAATTTTTCCTCGGAGCTCAGGTTGCGGGCGCTACTCATATATTCAGTGGCCAACTTGTCAATTTCAGCCTTCAGGTCTACAACAGAGACAGAGGCCTGGTCACAATGGCTCCTGGGCGGCTAGATGAAACACACTTCTTGCTCTTGTTCCTTGGACTTTTTCCATTGACCATCATGACCTTTGAAATAAAACCTACTGAATGTTCACAGGAACTGTGCCATGTACTCATATCAACACTATTTGTTTTAAAGATGCCTTCAAGGTGTTGACAACATTGCTAGCATAGTTGGAACTTAAATTATTGCAATATATTGGGGGATTCTTTGCATACCACATTAATATGAAGTATATTTTTGTTGATGTTTGTACATGCTTCTTTGCAGAGCTTGCTGCTTCTTGATCCATGAATGTCATTCCAAAGACTGCCTTGTTTCTTGTCTCACAAGCATCCCTCAGAAGCTCTGACAGTAGCAAACTAGGCTAGGTCATCTGTTGCTCTGGCTTTTAGGTCTCACAATTTAAAATTAGGCCTTCTCTCTTCTGCTTGCTTATTATCCACATATTTTGCTGATCATTTGCAACTTGCTTATATTTTCCATCACTTTGTTTCTGTTTGTCCATCTTAGATATTTCTCCAAACAGTTTGAAAAGGTAGTGATATCCCAGGACACTAACTGAAGATGTCTACTCCCTAATGTATGATAGGGCTCAGAAAAAAGTCTGACTTTAACACCATATAGCTGTGTTAACACAGGTAACGGGGAAGATCTGCAAACACGCTATAATTATGTTCCACTTCATTCCAGGCCTTTGAAAGCAGCTTAAAAAAAAGCATATAGTTCCATAATCTCCAGCTGGTTTTTGCATGAACTGAAGAGTCAGAACTGTATAAATTAGATTCTCATCATTTGGCAGGCAGTTCTCACAGGTTGATGTCCAAGATTTTAGATGATGCTCACATTTTCATGAGTAAACTTAGCAAAGCAATTTAAAACACAGCTCCACGTAACCTAACACCAGCTTTGAGCATGAATACAAAGGATGGAAGGTAAAAGCTATATATCCTTCAATGGGTATGGCGATAGCTCCAATAGACATCTTGGATCTTGAAGAGACCAACTTGATAACTGTAATGTAGCTTCCCTCAGGCTCCAGTAACTGCCTCAATATAGCCAAATATCCTCAATGTCAAGGCTGAAGATGTTATCTATTGCTTCTGTAAGATTGAAGAATACAGTGTAGCATCCTGATGTTAATTGCTTCTTCTCTTTTGTCTTTCACTCTCCTTTTAAGAATTTCTCATACAACAGAGCTCCTGTCTACAGACATGAAATGTAATCTAAAACCAATGTAAATTTTGTGAGAATAACATTAACAGGGAAGCAGAAACACTATAGTTATCCTATAAGTATATTGGACACATACAGCAGAAGTGATGCTAGAATCAATTTTGGTTTCTTGAATTCTTCTTGAGGTAGATATAAAGAACATAGCATCTCTTGAGTTCTTGAGGCCTTGTCTCAATACTTAATTTGTTATGGAAAAGTGATATAGAAATGAGGATCAATAACCTCTTTTAAGAATTCCAAGAGAGTCTTAAAAAAAAACTCATAGTTCTCCAAATCACACCAGATGACGTGGTAATAGCAAGTAGGAAAATAAATGATTACATACACTCATCATACATAAGAACTGCTTACTCTTTACTTACCCTCTGTTCTTTGGTCAAGGTCCCTCATAAGTTGAAAGTTTCTCTGTAATTCAAATGGGAGGTTTTCAATACCTAGAGAATAGAGAGAAACATAATTACTGGACTATGCAGAGATCTTGGCAAGAGCTCTACCACTGAGCCACACCCCTAGCCCCCATATTTACAATTTGTGTGTGTTTATGTTTACATGTATGGGGATGGGGATGGAATCCTGTGTTTTGGACATATTAAGCATGTAATTCTTACCACTATGCCACAACCTCAGCCCTTTATATACATCTTTTTAAAGTGCAATTCCATCTTCCCTAATTTGAACTTCTGGATTTGTGACAGCATTCATAGTTCCTTTCTTTCAAGAGTCATATTCACTTCTCTCTCCTCCCAACTATTTCTCCACCTCTGCACAACTATCCCACGCTTCTCTTCAGTGACTTTACAAATCAGCCTTTCCCTTTCCTCTATTTTTTAATCTCTGTCTCCAAGCATCTTGCCCTCAACTTACAAATAACATCATGATATTCTCTACTACTCATCACAGATATCCAATCAATTTTCTAAAGGGTAGACCAAATGTTCTTTTAAAGAATAGAAACCAGTGATAGAGTGCTTAGCTAGTATGCATGAGGTCCTGGTTTTCATTCCCAGCACTGCAAAAATAAAATAAAAATTAAAAAAGCAAACCAGTGCATGTCTGTAATCCCAGCTACATAAGAAGTGGAGGTAGGAGGACCAAGAATTTGAGGCCACCTGGGCA